ACTTTTGTAGAAAAAGGAATAAGTTAATAGTTGTAGGAGATATTTTACCCAGTTGTATTTTTACAAATGTAGCGTTCGGATATTGTCAAAACATGCCATAAATATTCATATTTAACTCCAGTAATGTAAAACGATACGTTTAATGTCGAGTGCTTGACGGTTATATAATGAATAGTGTTCAATATAACTCTTAACCCTCTAACTCACATATCGGGTTAGTGTAACAATGAAACAAATATGATTTAACCGATATTTTTAAAGTATTCTATAGATAATAGAATTTTTTTAACATTAATAGATATGGAAATTGTGTTCTTCATCAAAGTTATCTTGCGATAACTGATAGCAATATTCAAGGGCATGCAAGTCAAATAATTCTGTCTTTGCGGAAAATATAAAATATTTGATTTAAAAGATAAACCAATGAACACTCTTGTGAAATATGGAAATTTACAATTATCTTTTTTTTACGGATCAAGTTCCGACTGCATCATCTTGTGTACAAAAAGTGTAGAAAATATGCTTCTTTATATTATATAGCATAATTACAGACTTGTTATAGCAAGACATCCTCTTATCTTAAAAGCATTTTATTGTATTGAAAAATCCCCACATTGTCCAGCGATATTCTCTATTACTTACCTTGGGCCTTCTTACTCCTAATAAACAACTGTTATACTTTTGATTTGTAACCCATGATATTCTCTCTTACTTACCTTTGGCCTTCTTACTCCTAATAAACAACTGTTATACTTTTGATTTGTAACCCATGATATTCTCTCTTACTTACCTTTGGCCTTCTTACTCCTAATAAACAACTGTTATACTTTTGATTTGTAACCATGATATTCTCTCTTACTTACCTTTGGCCTTCTTACTCCTAATAAACAACTGTTATACTTTTGATTTGTAACCCATGAAAAACATAACTTATTACGACTGATTAAATACTCTTATCATATTCACGATAATCTCACAATTACTTTTCTTACCAAGACAGACAAAACCAGTTTTTAATTGTGTGTTTAATTACGGAATTCCATCTGTGTACATAATTTCCTATAAACATTTCCACGCTGATAGACTCCGTTTTCATTTTTCGTGAATATTTTATTATCTATAACCATTATCTCTATATTATTTGTATATTTCTTAAGCCTATTCAGAAATGTGCGTTTTCGTAACCAGTTTACCTATGATAAAAATATAGTTTACCAACCTTTTAGCTGTAGCCTTTATTCTTGATAAAGTTATCCAGTTACAAATCCTGCTAACTCATCTACAGTAACAATGATATTCATTCTGCTATCCTCAGTTTTGTAAACTTATCAATTTGTTCTCCTACTCACCCTATTCTACACAGTTTGTATATAGCAATAATTATTGTTTCATGTTTTCCTTAAGGGAATAAATTCAAAAAAAGTTTGCTTAACGAAAGTTCAAATGGTGCAAACATTAATCTTAAGACGACACACAAAAGCACTCTTGTTTTTTACTCTATACCAAACGATAATCAGAATTATCTTCCTTATTTCTTACTACAAGAATACATTACATGCACAATCTATCCTTCTGCATCAACCTGAACCCATAGCTACATAGTTTATACCACAAAAAATATCTACTTACCCGTAACGTATACCGCTACCCTGCTTTCCACTTCCCCTAGACTATTAATACCTTGTAACAATATCTACACATACCTCTACCCTGCTTTCCACTTCCCCTAGACTATTAATACCTTGTAACAATATCTACACATACCTCTACACTGCTTTCCACTTCCCCTAGACTATTAATATCTCCTAGCAGTATCTACTTGCCCGTAACGTATACCTCTATCTCGCTTCCACTTCCCCCACACTATTAATACCTTCTAACAATATATACTTACCGGTAACATACAGCTCTATCTTTCTCTCCACTTCCCCTACACTATTATTTGCAATACACACATACGTCCCGGTATCCTCTACTCTGGTATGCTGGATCACCAGAACACCAGCTGTCAGAATTATTCGATATTCTGACTGGATAAGAGTTCGAAACCCATGATTTACTTTGTACCAATAGTAGTGTGGAGGAGGTTTACCATGAGCCACACACGTTAAGGTAGCAGGATTGCCTTGAACTACGTATTCACTATGGCTGAAACTCGTGAAGATCGGGGGTATAGGGCTGCGAGGCTCTAAAAACAACATGATAAAAACACTTATATTAATATTCAGGTTGTTAAAATATTTTTTTGGTATCTTTTATTCGTACTACCGCTTATATTCTCTTTCTTATAATAGTTTTAACAGAGCAAACAAATTTCCCTTAAAGAAAGACTCATCCAGTTTTTAAGTTATTTTATTAAGCAAGAACCGCCTGATCATCAATCTATAATTTAATATTAAAGAGTACGAGGGATTCGAGTTCAGTTCGATTTCTGTTTTGTGATTTTTTGGAAATCCAAATGTTTAGGAACCAGGCAGTCGTGTTTAAGAATATAAAATTAATGTTTGTTTGTTGTTGTTAAGCGCAAAGCCATATAATGTGCTATCTGTGCTCTGCCCACCACCGGTATCGAAACCCGATTTTTAGTATCATATGTCCTCAAACGTATCGCTGAGCCACCAAAGGACAGAATTAGGGAAGAAAGAGTTATTTGGTCAAATGCTTCTAGTAGAAGTAGTTTTCACCCTAATTCCACTTCACAGACTAAGATATAAGTTTGTTTGTTTTGTTTTGTTTTTTGGCAAAAAAAATCTTTATTACCTATTTCAAATGTTTACTTCAAAAGTTTCATTTTTTTCAAGTGAAATGAAATTTAGGTTTCTTAAAGAAGAAACTGAAAGGATTATTGTTTGAATTGTACAATGAACACGCTGATTGTTTTAGTCATATATATATATACAGATAAATAACTGTTGTGAAAGCGAGATCAGTAACTACTTGAAAAGGAGTTTCAGAACAACATTTAGTTTGTAACGTCTGAATTACTGATGATGAGTAATGTTACAATGGTTTATTAATGCGAATTCTTACTGACTGCTAATCGGACATTTCTATCAAGTTTAAAACTAATAACTTTTTAAAAATTCAAAATAATGGCAAATTTGTTATGTATTCGTTTAATAAGTTTAGTTTCAATTGTACAATTTTATAAGTATCTAGTAGCTGTATCAACCAGATGAAAACTTTCTTTTTAACACCTGCCATACGAGCCAGCTCAGTATCTTTTGGTACGAAACCTCGGATGGTCAACAGGGGGATTATTATGTAAACCAGTGATTTAGGGTCGTTTCGATAGATCTCGATCAATGCAGCTCGGCACAACTTCCAAAACGAACGAAAAAACAAACAACTAAATATTAATGAAAATATGACATAATGAAGTCTATATAGATGGTGGTACCATTATAGCATCCTTCTTCTATTTACTCTTCATTGCAGACATGGTATTTTAAATTTGAGAATCACCAGGGAAATCGTTTTATAATACATTGTGCATCTGCTTCATCTTGAACACTGCATCTGTGAACTTTCACAAAATATTGAAACTAACGAGTTCTTATGTATGATTCTAATCCCCTTTTTTTGAAGATAGCGATACTGTTGTGCCCGATTCAGCTAGTATATCAAATCGATTGAGGTTTCTACGAATAAGTTCTTCCCTCATCAGACTTAGACCAACGGTTTAGCTTAACTGCCACATTTAGAACATTTCAAGCTTGTTTCATTGTTACACCGTTTTACTTTACATTTACAAGTTAACTTTTTCATGTTGGCTCTCATGGTTTTGGGCCAGTTCACGGGTCTGGCCTAAAAACATACACCTTAAAATTGTGCCAAACGTCTTCTTTTTGTCTAACCAAACCAAATCAAACCTTTTCGGAATGACTCATTTGTTTGGATCCACGTCAAGATTCCGGGATGTCTTGTGTCAAATAAGTTTACTGGTACACAAATCCCATAGTTTCAACGTACAATATTTTGCGCATTTCCCAACACTCTCTCGAACAACACTACATTTAGTTGAACTTATCTTTTACCGGTTTCAATTATCAAATAAAGTTGCGTTATAAAAAAGACACCTGATAGTAGCTTTTATGCGACTTTTTTATTAACATCGGTAGAAATCTTATCTTAAAATTGAGTACTGTAAGAAAATGTTTGACTAAATGAACTTCTTATATTATTTGATTTTGATGTATTATCTTCTCAGTAAGCTTTCCACATAGCTCAGTGTTGCCATGGTACCACATATTCTAATTTCTACCGAGAATTAATGCTTCCCATACCGTAGTTTTTCAGTCATATATACCACATGTTTAAAAATCTTGCATTTTTTGATCTTAAAGAAAGCTTCCATGACCTAGTTTGCCAGATATATTTTAACAATACCAGAATAAGCGGTATTGTCGCATTCTGTTGATTAAGTCTTGGTTTCACATTTGCAATTATCGCATTCTCTCGAATTTAGTACATTTAGCATTTCATCGACATTCGTATCAATGAAACTACTATCAAACTCATTGCGCTTCATTTTTAATACGACTTATTTCATCATGGAAGTCTGAATAATTGCTTAACATCCTGTAAGCATGATTGACAAGTATTTCTACCAAATTTACTTTAAATGACTTTGTAACGAAACCACTGAAATGTGCACAAAGTCCTGAATAATTTCGTTTACGATAAATAAGTTACTTCAAAACTACCTTGTTGGTTGTAAATAATAATGTCTAAAAGTTGTCTCTTGTTTACATTCAACAGTAAAGAAACAGTTGACTCTTGTTTACATTCAACAGTAAATCTTATGGTTTCCAAATATTGCAGCAATTTATCAGCACAATTTCTTGATAGTAAATATGTCATGAACATACATTCTATAATAAATAGTAAATATGTCATGAACATACATTCTATAATAAATAGTAAATATGTCATGAACATACATTCTATAATAAACAGTAAATATGTCGTGAACATACATTCTATAATAAACAGTAAATATATCATGAACATACATTCTATAATAAATAGTAAATATGTCATGAACATACATTCTATAATAAACAGTAAATATGTCATGAACATACATTCTATAATAAACAGTAAATATGTCATGAACATACATTCTATAATAAAC